CCTAAATATCCAAATGATTAAAATTTAATTTTAATGAAAACCTATGCAAACAAATTACTAAATCATCAATATATTACCGTTCGTTGTGTATTTTTATATCATCATCGTCTATAAACAAATATAAAAGAAAATTTATATGAAATTTATATGAAATGTCATTTCCACTTACACTTATTTAACCAATTTTCAATAAGATTATTTTTATCGATATGATTTGTTTCAAATAAACAACTTCTACCTATTGGTATTGAATCTGCGGTTTTTTGGCTAGAACTATCGTCGTCATCATATTGAGCATTCGTGATGATCTTTGAATAATCAATATTTTCGATAATTTTATCTTGTTTTTCTTTAATTAATGTACCAAGTTCATTATTTATGTATAACATGTCATTTTTTTCGAAGACAACTGGCATTGGTCCATGTAAAGGTGTTGAATCACTTATAACTGTTGGCATTAAAATTAAATAACCTGTTAAAGGTTTAGACATTAATTTAATTGTTTTTGGTCTTAATGATCTTTTATTCGGTAGAGGTGTAATTGGATGAATTGATAGTACATATTTAAAGAAATCTTTTGATGAAATTGTACATGGAATATCAGTTTTGATTTTTGCAAGATCTTTTCCGCCAAAACTGGTTATAGGTAGTACTTCAATACCTTCGCTTTCTGTATTCCAAATGAGACAAGGTCGTCTTCGTTCTTGTGATTGACGTTTTTGTTTTCGTGATGATAACGATGTAGATGCTGAAGTGCTACTAGAAGACGATGAATTTGTCTCTAACATAGTGCTTAAGAATTCTTCTAAACGTGACTCTAATCCAACATGGATCTTATATATTTCACCTACATTTGGTTTTGCTGAAGATATTGTTATAAAAAAAACACACATAATTTTATTTTTTAATGTTTTTACATACATGTCTTTAATATTGATTGTTTATCTTTTTCGACTTGATAATTTAGCTAAAGAAAAAAAAAATTGAAAATTTTGTTTATTAAAAAGAACATTTATTTTTTGAATTACCTTAATAGATTCGAAATCTCTTTTCATTTGAGGATTTTGTTGTCCTTCAACAACTTGTCCTAAACGATCAATTTCTATATTAATTTTTTCAATTATACCAATATATTGTTTCCTTATTTCAACCATTATTATTTCAGAATTCTAAAAAAAACAAAAACAAACAAAACATTTAAACACATTATCTTGTTTTTAGCATGAGGTGAAGGTATAGATGACAGTGGAATGTGCATAGAGCAACTAGGGCTCAAAGTTTTTCAATCCGGCTCTGAACGTATTCTTAGTACTCAATGAATTAAAGAAAAACATACTTTGATTTGTTTAATCAGATGCGTAATTGGTTCTTTCAAACTTTCAACCACCTGTGCATATTTGCTTCGTTTTTTTCGAATGTTAAACGACTGTACAATTTTTCCGATTGAATCAAGTAAATCAATTAAAATTTTCATTTGTATTGAACTTTCAATTCTATTAAGAAAGAAAAAGTATAAACAGTTAGATTAATTTAAATCATTTCAAAAAAAAAATCATAAAGGCAGTTTAGCTATTTCTCATGTCAGTACTTTATTTCAATTTCTTTAGTCGTTATTGGATTCACATACCTTTCATGTTCTTGAAAGAATTTTTCTGCTTTTATAACATCATATTTGGCCATGATGATTTAAATTCAGCATATAATAGTTTAACGAATTTTTTACAACCATATATTTCAAGAAATTTAAATAAATCGTCTAAAACATCATAATATTTAACACGTATACATAATTGATACCAAAGCATACGAATTTTCCAATTGGAATATTTTGACATGTTACAATCAGCATCTAATTGTTTTATTTCATCATACATTATTGATGATTTTTGATTAAGAAGAAGATTTAATAAATAAGCAATTTGTTCAACGTTTAAAGATTCTATTTGTTGTTATGTTATTGATGTTTGTTGATTAACTAATTTATGACATTGTTGTTCAAGTTGTGTAGAATAATCATGTGTTATTAGAGGCATACCAAGTGTATAAATCCATGACTGCCAATCAACAGATGGTGCTTGAGGAAAATATGATTTAAAATATTGAATAAAATCATCAGTATTTAAATTTTTTCCACCAAATTTAATACTATATGAACGAATAAATTCTTCAAACTTAGATTCAGAACGAATAATATTTTGTTCTAAATGCCAAAGAAGAGCAACACCTTTATAACATTGAACTATAAAAAGCAAAGAAATATTTTGTTTCAAGTAAAAGATGAAATTGTAAATCTACCTGAACCATAGGTAACATCAAGATCAATATTATTCAAACGATAAACAAGACAAGTATATGGTTGTGTGGATCCGAATGTATCAATAGCATTTTTTAAATCTTGCCATTGCTGAGCAGCATGAAATCTTCGTATTTCTTTTTCATTTGTTTTAGCTAAATTTCCGAGTATTTTTGCTTCAATAAATGATGTAAAACCTTCATTTAACCAAAAATGTTCCCAATTCTCATGTGTTACTAAATTTCCTATAAGACAAAATATATCTTATTTAAATGAAAAAAGTATTTTTAATAAATAATTAACCTATCCAAGAATGTGTCATTTCATGAACAATTGTACTTATTAATGAACGATCGTCAGCAAGTAATGTTGAAGACAGAAAATTCATACATGGATTTTCCATACGTACATAGCTATATTAATTAAATACAAGACATTACAAAAGTCCACAGGGTAATAGTATATGAATTTTGATAATTTCATCTTAATATTTGCGTTATTAGATGAGACTGTCTCAGATCATGAAAATGTGATTGGTGATTAGAGAGCGTCAGGTACAAAACTTTTGAACTCAAATCCGATGAATTAAACTGTGTGGTGCCCCAATCAAATATATTGAACTTTCAGAGATTCAGATCCAGTTTACAGAAATTTTTCGGACACAGATTCATATTGACTAGGGATGTCATTTACCGTCTAGTTTATAATAAATATAAATTATGAGAAATTTATATTTATTATAAATGTAAATTATTTAGCTGCGGAATTTACATTTACAAATAAATGTGAATTATCATAATTTATATTTACGAATAAATGTAAATGTAAATTGACACTCCCAAGGACATCATACAGTATTTTATATCAAATCAATGCTCACCAAAAGCTGTGTTTATGAATGTAATTAGAGCAATTATTGCCTATGCAGCTATCAAAATTGCTTAAATTACATGTTAAAAGGAACTCATACTTTACGATTTTTATTCTTCATTGTAGATATTATAAAAAAAATTGTAGTGGATTTGTAATCTCCATCAAAAAGAAAATCAATAGACATATCATTTATATATTTTTGACGAAAAAGAATTTTTTCGAAAAAATCATGGCATACCTCAGACAAAGTTTTTTTGAACTGAAATATCTCGATTTATAGATCAGTGGGCATACTATTTGATGAAAATCATGATTTGAAAGTATTTCTGTTGGTGAATGTAAGAAAAAAAGCAAAAATTGAAGTATGCGAGCTTATTTTGGCAAAAAATTATCTTTGTTTTTATAGCATTTGGTCTATAAAAGAACTTTCATGAGATAGTTCCCGTGATTTTTTCGAGAAAGATTTTTTCGTCAAAAATATACAAATGATATGTCTATAAATATTTTTTGATGAAGCGCACAAATCTGCTATGATGTTTTTTGAAAATATCTACATGAAGACTGAAAATCGTAAACTATGAATTGCTTTTGACATGTAATTTAAGCAGTTTCAATAGTTTCATAGACAACAATTGCTCTAATGACATTCATAAAACCAGTTTTTGATGAGCATTAATGTGGTATAAAATACTTTATGATATCACTTATATTTTAAGTTGTAGAGTGGGCCCTAATGGTTTCATAACAACCTATGCAATGAGATCTTAAAATGATGAATTTTGACTGCCATTCAATATTAAAATTCTCTAGTCTTATGAAAACCACTCAAGTTTTTCTATATCATAGTCCCAGTTTCTTTCGATAGAAGAAACTTAATAGTATTCATTTTTCATTGTTATTGTAAAATGTTCAATTATTATTGCTGCTGTAAAGAGTCATAAATACTGCTCTCTAAGCCTGATCGTTCTTGACATATTGGAAACTATAATGGCTACAGATTTGAAGAAAGAGGAAAAGATTTCATAGTCTACATGATCATTACAGTTCATCAGATCCTTTTTTTATCAAACAGCATCTTAAATCTGTGGTTAACAAACGCATAGTGGCAAGTGCATATTTTAAAGCTTCTTCTATCGAGACAAATTAAAATAACTATAAAAGACGGATTCGATTAGTCTTCTTTTAAGATTAGAGAAGTGTGGTGTGCGATAAAAGTCAAAAATCTTCTTTTCAATATCCAATTATAGAAGTAGTTACTAGATAAAAATCAGAACTTAAATACACCCACACCCACATCCAGCATCTTTAAATTCATATTGACATTGTTTAATCATACTTGATTCAGTCCAAAGACGAATACGAGGACTTAAATCATATGAAACTAAATGGTCAACAGCAATAGCAACTAAATACGATGGTATAGCTTGATTTTGTTCAAAATAGAATGTATTTGTATTTTCATCATGTTTTGTTTGTAAACCACTCATTAACTACTAGTATACAGTTTTGTAGAGCTCGACGAGCTCTATCGAATCATGTAAAAAAATATCTTAATCTGTTTTTGAATTATTGGCGTCTCGGCTTTTCTATGCCAAAAAAGCATAAAATTTATGAAAATTTCTTAAGTTCGACATTAAAAGTTTTCGATAACTCTTACTATTTAGTACCAATAAATCCCATTTTCGACGCGCTTTAATTTGGTATAAAATAAGTTATGTATCCTATTTGAAATTATAGTGTTACCCACCTGAAAAAACATTTTTAGCCACTCTGTACATCATTTATTACATGGAAATCATAATTTGAAACAATTATCTTAAATTTTTTGTAAGGAAAGTTGCAAAGATAACCAAATAAACCTTTAACAAGTTGAATATATGAGACGTATTTTGCTATCGGATAATTTACAGGTGAGACAAAAATTATCCATGCAATCTATTTTTTGATCAAAGATAGCCAAAAAAACCGACATTTTAGGATTTGGCTGGTATAAAAATAATAATCACGTCGATTACTATTTACACTATAGAAAGCAACACTATTGGTCAAGTGTGTTTTGAATTTCAAGATTAATACATGACACTTATGCATGTTTTAAACGTAAAAATTTACCAGTGCTACATTTTGATAAATCGTCTGCTTCAACTTCTGAAGATTGTTCGTTGGTAATTTTTGAAATTCTCACCCCATACAAGCCTATAATTGTTCTCTCACGCTAAGATCAAGAGAATTGGATGGCCATGGTAAACACTCAATATGATTAGCACTAAACCACTCTATCACGATCTATGCTTTGTATTTAGTATCGTTATCGAATTGTAAAATAACTTTTTTTGGCATGTCTAATCGTTAAGCAGACAGAAATAAATGCTTCGATAACATAGCTTCGAATATTTCGCTGGTCATTATATCTTCAATAAGAGTTAGATCTCCCAGTCCTTTCTTGTTCGTGTATCCTCAAATTTTTAAATTGCTATCAGGTTTTTGTACTTTTGATAGAATTCATTCGGACAAGAATCTTCACCAGGATTATGCCAAGCCAGTTGTTTGACCTTTGACTCAAATCAATTGAGCTTTGTTTTGTCCCTCCGTAAAACATTAATTTCGAATTCCTCTGGTGTTACTCAATAGATATATGAATACCTAATCGCTGCAATTGATTGTTTTTCTTCATCAAAGACTTTTTATATGCAACCCGTCCTTGATAGCTACCTTCATTGAGTCGAAAATGAATACTTTATTCAATAATGAATTTGGTTCGAATGATTTTGTTTTATTTTGTGGATAATTGCTTGATGAATACTATTTGTTGTGATTTTTCTTTTTCTACCACGATGAACTAGTAGACTTGATACGTCTTGGTCTTTTATAGTTATTGGCAATATATTGAACCCTAGATTTCGTAGTTCATACGATTTTGGCGATTTCATCAAGCACATATGAAGATAGGCATAGTATAGAGAGCAAGCAACATACTTTAATCTAATAGATTGATGTTTAATCATTACCTTAATCGATTTCACAGAAGAACAAAAATAGCAAAGAACATGTATAAACGATATCGATAAAGTTTAAGAAGGACAATGAAATATCCGTAATTGCAATATGTGGCGTCTAAAAGAATTTTGTCAGTATGACCCTGTATGACCACAATGTAGAACTCCTGTGTTTATTATGAGATAAGAGATAATATATTCTATATTTCTCATATAATGAAGTATAATATAAAGTTTAGAACATCTGAAATAAAGGTAATAGTCGTTTCTACTGAACACTTATCTGTACCTGATCGAAAGTGATTAAATTCGAATCAAGAGTTATAATCACATATTTCATAGGTGAGTTCTACAAAAAATAAATTACGACCGTGTCATTGATTCTTGACTGCATATAATAACTTTATAGTTAAACTTTTTTCAAACTAAAAAAAACGTAAAATTTCATCATTGTCAATATTCTGTGGATAATCTATTCATCTACAATATACATAGATGTCAAGCAATAGTTTCGCATTCACAAAAGAATTTATCAATAACGTTGATTTTTTCAGTGCAAATATTAGACAGCGTGATGATTATTTTGATACCAAACAAATCTTAAAAAGTCTATATCTTGACTATCTTTAATCAAACAAAGAAATCGCACGAATAATTTTTGTCGCAGCTATATGTTACAATGTTTAATTTGTCCCAGTAAAAATTTTCATTTAAAACTGTTGATCCCACATATTTCCCAAACGATATATTTCAATATCGCTCGTTGTAAAATTAGTTGAGCCAGTAAATGTTAAGTAACCTTTACCAGTTGAATCCATATAGTTTGAAGGAAATTTAATAAAACTTTGAGAATTCAAATTGCTATTTGGATAAATACAAATATCATATTGACCGAATGTTGGTCCCATTGCATTCGGTATTATCGCATGTTCACCTGCTGATTTTATTGTATATTTAGTAGGTGAAAAACCATGAGGATTATTTAATGTAAATAGAAATGCTGTTCGGTCCGTAGCGCCAGATTTAACACCTTGATGAAAATTCCAACTGACTGATGTATAACCACCAAATAAATAATTATCCAAAGTTTGAATAACAGTTGTTGTTGGACCTTGACTATCACAACAACGATGAAAATCATCAATTGTAAATCCATCTTTTGTAGCTTTATATATTAAATGCCATTTTTGATTTTCATTTCCATAAAATTTATTTAATTGCAATTGATCTTCTTGTGTTAAAAGTGTTCCACCAAAAAATAATTGTTTTGGAGGTGATATGTCATAGTTGAAGATTGTTGATGTTTCTACAAAAACACGAAGTATTGTCGACCAATCAATTGGTGTTATACTTAAACGAATACGAGGTGAATGAGTATTAAGTGCTGTTTGTAGATTTCGAAGTTTTGAATTTAAGCTTTCAATAGAATTATCAGTACTATTGCGTCGTTGAAATTCGTTAGAGTCGTTTCCAGCAGTTATATTATTTGACATCATTAATGTATGAACACGTTGTCGAGCATGATCAGCTGTTTGTTTGACAAGTAATAAAGTTCCTCGTTCCCATTCATCGATTTCATCGAGAAGAGTCACTGGTTGAGACCGACTGGAAATTGATGAACGACGTGAACTAGTCATTTTTTTATAATATAAGATTTGATGAAAAAAATTGACTTAAATCACAATTGCGAAGGAATAAAAATGCGCCGTCAAAGAAAAAAAAGAATTGTGTTTAAAAGAGTAAGAAAGTGTATCTGTTCGTATGACCGAGAAAGGTGAAGAATTGGCAACCTTTTTTCTTTCTGTTGACGACAACATGTTTTTGCTTTAAACTCAGAAGAAAAACAACACAATACCAAATGCTTATGATGAGAATGTTTTTCTTCGTAAGATGGTGTTTCTGACGAATCGTGAAATTACCTCGATGTTTTTTTTTTCATATCAAGAATTTATTTTAGTTTTTCTTTGTCGTTAAATTATGTTGTTTCAAACCTAGAAAAGAGTCTTTTATTGAGGTATACACAAGATTGAGAATACGGAAATTCAAGGATTTCAAGAAAATCAAGTTGTATTTAGTCTTTGAAAATCCACCTCGGATTGTAAGTGTTAATCGTTGAGGGTGTGGGTGTGGGTGTGAGTATAAATCTTCTTTTCACTCAAGCCCACTTCCACAACTAGCTACAGCCCTAACCCCAATCAAATCCTCAAGAAAAAACCTCACTGGGCATTGTTTACCAATATGCAGCCAAATCGACAGCTAATATACACATCAGCAACAATGGCTACGCACACAATTGCTTGGCTAATACAAATTCCATGCCCTATGTACATTATTTCTGTCTTTCATTCTCTCACTATAGTATTTCACTTTTGTTAATATTCCATTTTCAGAGTAAAATTATTCATGCATGAAAAAACCTAGAAAATACATCAACAAACATTGTTTCTGTCTATATCACACATTTCTTTTTCATTTTAGATTACTACAGTCTAACGGTGCACAATAATCCAGAGTCGAAGAATCAGTACAAATATATGAACAACTTATACAATTGCATGAGTCGAGAACAATATCATCCATAATAATCAGAAAACCCCACGTATGCAATAAATCAACACTGTTTTTTCCAACAACATAAGATGTTTCTTCAAAAGAGTACTCAATAGAATTTACAATTAATAGAGTCTCTAATCCAGAATCAACACACTACGTTCACAGCCTATGCCAAGACTGACCAAAAAAAAACATATACATAAAGATCTTGAAATCAAATCAAGCAAACTAACAATCAGATATGATTTAAGCGATCATTTCTACATTATCTCAAATAGCTATGCTGAAAAACATAGAATCATGTCTTCCAAAATTTGATTCCCTATTTCCAACAGAATCCTTTGCCTATGAATGAGCCCAAAAAAATTTTAATGTCATCTAGATCGAAATGGAAAAGAGAAGGACAAAACCCAACAATTTCTTTCGACTGAATATCCTTCTGTACAACAAACTGAAAAACATTTTCAAAAATAGAGGCAAACCTTGAATACAGACTACGGCTTCTCGAAAAAAAACCAAAGATTTCCTTACATGAGATACATACTACTGATGTTGAGAAAAGAAAATTTTGCACTTGTTTTGAACTTATGAGATAGATCTTGGAGAAAGACATTCTTTGTACAATTCTCTTTAAGTTTATTTTAAAAAGACAATGCAAAGTGAAAGCTACATGATGAGACCATTGAGAAAAATCAAAACTAATAGCGGTTTTCTTTTCCATGCTACACACCCACAACTTGTGCTGCAAAATAAATAGATTATACATTAACTATGAAGGATGGCATGTTGAGTTATATCAAACACCAACTCAACAGTCTCATGGTTTGCGATTTTAGCATACAATATTGGGATCCATTACATTCAGCTGCAATGAAAACAGATACCGTCTTCTTTTGCCGTGCAAAGTAAGTGGAAAAAATGAAGATGGATATAGATAG